GACGATGAATTTAAGAAACTCCAACAGTTTGAGTTTACAAAAGCTGTCATGTCTGAATGGAAGACATTTACACTGCAGGCAGGGCTTCTCACTCACAACCTGCTCCTGCAGGCCACTCCAGGACTGCGATAAGTCTTTATTGGTGGGAAACGGGACCCTTTCCCTCCTAATCTGATAGCTATGACCTTCTGACCTCCACTCTTGTTACCCCCCCCTCATTCTGGCTGTCTCACACAGTCAGTGACACACATGCACCGGTTGGAGATCTTAGAGATGTGAGGGAAGACGCCATCATTTGAATCGGGGTCTTTCCGTCAGCCTAAAAACTGTGTTCATCCTCCATTCTCAGGGTCTCTGGATCTGTTGCTGTCTCACTGTCTGGTGCCACCAGGTCTGCCATCTAGCAAGGCTAGCCTGTACTCAATAGAAAGTAAAGTTTTTACATTCTGGCACATACACCGTGTGTTACACTAATTCCCATGAGACTGGAAGAACTAGGGCACGGTACATGACCACAAATTGCTGATTGTGCCTTTTTAAAAGAGGGGATGAGACAAGAGAAAGCACTCCGTTTTCAAGATTCACAACCGGCTTTAAATTTTGCTGGAGAGCCACTGAATAGTGCCTTCACTGAACAGTGATTCACCGCTCTGTTGCAACCTGTTGCTCCGGGATACTGGGTCAGATGAGAGAAGTTGTCTTTTTGGATGGAGAATGGATGCAAATGCAGATTCTTAATGATGGTATCGCAGGCATTTCCTCACGTGTTTTTTTTTAAATTTCTGCAGTTAACTCAAATTGAGATATGTTTACACTGCCGCTCAGCTGTGACATGCTGTATGGCTGCAGCTTAAGCAGGGAAGTCCTGTGTGTGTGTGTGTGTGTGTGTGTGTGTGTGTGTGTGTGTTGTAGCCATATGTTCAATAGTTTGTGTCTGTGTCTCACTGTTTATACTGCTGCTCAGCTGTGACATGCTGTGCGACTGCAGTCCAAGTTTGTGTGTGTGTGTGTGTGTGTGTGTGTGTGTGTGTGTGTGTGTGTGCGCACATGTGTTTCAAACATATGTGCACTGACTTTGTCCACAAGTGTCTGTGCGGACATGCTGATTCGTCTGTGTCATTTAAAACTCCCAGAGCCGAGTGCCTCGGGGCTTAATGCTTGTGTAACGGAGACTACACTATGACTCACAGCGAGAGGTCGCCGACCCCCACTCTCTGAAATAACATCAGTGAAGGTGCAGGGGGGGCTTCCCAAAAGGCCCTTTAGCTGCTCCAAGGCCTACGGAGAATAGACCCCTCACCTTTTCTTTTTTTCTGTATCGACAACCTCTGTTGTAATGTACGTTTAGTTTCACGCTCTTCTGTTTGACTTAAAGTGTTTCCTTGCAGCAGAACCCTTAATGCCTGTAAAGCAATAATTTAAGTGTATATTTTAGATGTTTCAAGAAGCTAAGTGACGGTTCAAGTTAATAGAGAAGGTTTATTGTAATCTGTATGTGTCACGTATACTTTCTCTCTTTCCAGCGGACCTTGTGTTGCACACATATGTCCTCTTATTTTTTTAATTATTCACAAAAATAATATTTAGCTCTAATGACATCGATAGTCTGTACTTGAAATTCAAGATCTGAACGACAGTTTGGCACTAAAATACTGCCGTGCAGTGACAGATAGTTGGACACCTTTGGTCCCTCGTGGATTAAGTTCAGCTGTTTTTTTTTTGTTGGTGTTGTAATTAGTCGATCATTCATCCTCCCATTGATGGTCTCAGGCGTCAGACTCATTCCTGGTCTTGGGTTTCACGCTTTTGTCTGTGTATTGTGAGCACCGACACTGGGGAGGCCTGGAATTTCACTTCTTCCACTGCTCAAACATCTCAGGATTTCACAGGCCGCAGACATCGCACACATTTACAAGGAATACCATTTTGCAGTACATGTACGATAAAGGCTTTTCTTTTCTTAAAGGAGGAGAAATATACAGAATTCATTGGAAAATATTTCTGCCACCACATAAATACATTGGAGGTGAATGGAATTCTATTAGTGGTGCCAAAAGCATTTGGGTGAACTGACCCTTTCCATTACGAGAGATCCCTGCTGAGATTATGGTCCTCTGTCTGCGGGCTGCAGTGACCAGCATGTGAACTAAAAGGCACATTCTGAAACCCTTAAAACATATCTTAACATAACTATATCTTGAACAAATGCATTTTTGAACACTTCATTTCATTGACAACAATTGCCCAGCTGTTATTTTCGATCAATTAACAACAAAATCGTTAGTCCCACAAAGAAACTTTTTTTTTCTTTTATACGAAATAATCCATATTAAAAGGACAGCTCAAGGGGTCAGACACCCTTTGAGTTTGATTTCCCCAGAAAAAGAAGTCTCATCAGCTAAACACAGTTGGTGCGTTCCTTTGTCCAGCCTCTTACTATCTTCGACATACAACACAGTGCAAAGTTTTCAAACATTCTTACTGTAATCACCTGTTAGAATTACAAACGCCACTCTTGAAAACCGGACACAGTGTTGTCAAATAGCTCTTGCAGCCTGTACTCTGTACTGGCAGCAGTACACACATTAAAGGGATGTTGAAAGAAGAGACTTTTGACAAAGTTCAAGGTATGTTATGATATCTGCAGATTACCTGTACTGAAAAAAACTGTCACTCCCAAAGCGCAAAAGTACTACCTTCATTAAGTGCAATTTTACCTTTTCCTTGTCAGGTTTTCCAGTTCCATGGTGACAGGGGTAAAGGCTTGGCCACCCAAGCCTTTTGGCAAGTTTCCCATTTTTAAAGTGTGTACGAACATTTGTAAACTCTGTACCATCTTTTATATTTCAGTGTCGTACAAAAAACATCTTCAGGCTACTCTGAACACTGATTGGAGTCTCACTCTTTTTTTTAGACAGTTTCTTCTTTCCATCGGGATTCTGTGAGTAGTAAAAAGAGCGGAAAGGGACGAGATAAAAGAGCCAATCATGCTGCTGGGGATCCCCACAGGAGATGGAAAGAGTAAAACAGCACACGCACCTCTGCCATCATTAAGTTACATTGATCTGGTTTGAATGAGCCATGTGGAAATTCTTGCAAAAGAAAGTGTCTGCTATTTTTTTTTTTGGTTTCTCCTAACTTATACAATAAGACAATAAACCCTGAGAGGGGGAGCTGATGTTTGAGGCTAATCATTACCTATCACCGAGTTTATTACTCTAGGGTTTATTAACCAAGCCCCTACTATATACATTGTGTTTATTTTGGTTTACAGACTGACTTTGATCACTGAGTTTGTCCGACCACAGAACAATTTGCTGCAAGTGGATGAGAATATGTCTGCAGTCCACTTTTAATGTTTCCTGAAACATTTTGTGTTGTTCCCTTTCTTGGATAGCGTTGTGTGAAAGTCACCTTAAAAATGAGATGTCACTCCTTGTTTTTTTTCTCGAGCAACTGCTGTAATTAAAATGTCTATTTTTGACAGTTTTAGAGTGAACAATTGCTTGGTTAGAGTGTTAACTCCTTTTTGCCTTGAGGGTCAACTAATCTACATTTGCTGTTACTGCAACTCGCCTCTTAGAATTCTGCCTCTGAAATGAGGATAGAAAGCATTAGATCTTCCATTCCTGAAGTAGTATTCTTTATATATTATTTTAGTAGTGGCAAAGAGACCTTTTTTTCTTTTTTGTTCCTTTAACTGATAAATGTTTTTGTAGATAATCTACTAACTCAAGACAATCACAAGTCCCTTTGTCATGTTTGCCCAAAAGGAAGCTGCTTTTCATATGACTACACACAAGATTTTTCTTTCATTGAAAATGTCATCAGGGCAAAAAGCACAAAATAGCTCGGCCTTGTGATACATAAGTGAGCTATACTGTGTTATTTTCTTTTTTCTCACTTTACAATGTCTCTGGTGTTCACCTCCCCCGTTGCGAGGCTAAACAAAAATAATATTGCAGACAGGGGTCAGATGGATCATCAGTGACCCCGGGCCATGACGGAGAGCTACAGGATAAAGTTGTCAAGCTTGTGTCAAGACATTTATGCATCTCAACATAAGCGTCTGGAACCTTCACAGGGATGTTTGCATGCTCTGCACATTTGACCCAGGTTCCTTTCTATCAGCAACTGTGTTTACGTGCAAAAAAGGCCTGCCTTTATTAAAAAAAACCCGGTACTATTGGAGACACACTTGCACAAACCTCCTGATCCTATTATCACTGATCTCCCATTAACCAGATGTTGAGGGTCTCTGTCAACTGATCCCATAGGCAGTGTGAGAAACCAGTCTGAACAAGAAAGTGAGGCCTGAAAACAGGGGTCTTACTTGTATTGGACAATAAATGGCACCATGTAGAGCAGGGGCAATGTAGGCAGGGAAGAGTGGAAGGAAATGACAACGTTATGCCTTGAATTTGAAATGTAAAGACAGATTATGAGCTTCAACTGACTCCGGTGGATTGAATTTATATTTAGTGGTTTTGAATTTGGTTGTTTAGATACATTTGACCAAAATCCCATAAAATGATACAATTGCTGTGGTAATATATTGTTGTTTAGATTATATTTAAACATGTTTACATGTCACAACAACAACTTTGCAGCATAATTGGTTGCATTATTGCAATGGAATGGGACTTGTTTAATCCACAGCTGGGAATTCAGCTCTTTACATTTCAAACCTTCACCACAAAATTGCATTCAAATCTTTTTTGTTGAAATCAGCAAACCACATGAGCACAACTTTTGCTCCCACTGTGTAGTTTCACAGAGTTTGCAGGTTTTTTAAAGCTAGATCTGTAGTTTTCCCATTATCTTGTTTTAACAAAGAGAACGAGTCAAGGGGAACAAATTGCCCTACTCTGTAAGACACTGAAGGCATCAGTATTGTACACTGAAAGGCAAAGCTGCCGTAATTCTAAGGTATCAGTCAGCAGGAGAGATCGCTTTTCACTACTGTGACAAAAGGAGAAGGAGGAAGGAGGAGTTAGGAGAGGAAATATTGCCAGGGCAGCCAATACGGAGGGCACCTCCTCCTGCTCTCCCCCTTTATTCTTTTGAATGGGACACTCCTCTTCACTTTTGCTCTCTGCCTAGTGGAGTGTGTGTGGAGACAGAGCTGAAAAGTGTGTGTGAGGAGTGTAGTGGCAGTGTGGACATGACACAATTCAGTCTGGGAGACTGATCAACTGGGTGGACGTGGTCAAGACTTGATATGATGCCTAAGATGAGGACCCAGTTTGGAGTTTTGTTTTTGTTGACCCTGTGGGTGGTCTACTCTGATGCTTGGTTCTGGACCCGGAGTGGTACTACAACTTTTCCCCCAACAGTGGACCATGAGGGGTCTGGCAGTCCAGCAGGTAGTGGAGATGCACCATCAGAGAACATTACAGGTGTTGCAGCAGAGATCATTGATGAGGGACATGGGATCCAAAAAAATGTGCAGACTTGGGATGAGACCACTGAGGGACTTCGACTGACCACTCTAATACCTACAACACAACCGGAGAATGAACGTGAATCAGAAAAGGGAACAGCAGGGATTTCGTCACGCATACGTAAACCTGGTAATGGCACATCTTCTCTAACGGGTATGGGTTCTGGAGGATCTGATCATTTGAGGTTTGCAGGAGACGTTTCAGGACTTGGATCTGGGCTCGAGTCTGAATTGGCATCAGACACTGGGTCAGGTCTTTGGTCTGGCTCTGGATTCAATTCTGAATCTGGATCTGCAACCGGATCTGAAAGTAGCTGGACAGCTGGCTTTGAAACACAGGGGTTTTCTGAGGAAAACCATCAAGGAGTTGTAATGCCCACTGATCATATGGGGTTAGATAGTGGAGACAGTGTAGTGTCCCAAACAAATGAGATGGAATTGCAAAAGAGTGCCTTGGTAATTCATCACAGCACAGATGAGGGCCATAATCTCGGTAGCACAAAATCAGAGCAAAATCTAGATTTTTCTGTTGAAACCAGCAATAACACAAGAGTAAATAGAAAGCTTAACAGTAGCTCTAATTGGAATGCTAATGACTTTAATTTGACAAAGTATTCTCATGAAATACCTACCCTAGGAGATATACTAAACCCAATTGTAAGCAACAACTCTGTAGAGACTACCCAGGTACCTAAGGACAACCAACTAGTGGAAGTTAGCCAGTTACCAGCTGGTGAAGTAACAGCTAGCCTGCAAACTTTATCTAACCAAGTGTTACAGACTAGACAAGATTCATTTGCTCGCCAGGCACTTTCTACAACCCAAGAACTAACTACTACCCCGATAATGTTTATGACCCAACCACAAACAGCTAGCAGGAAACCAGATACTACCCTAATACCAATAGCTGCCCAATTTCAAGTACCCAGTCTAGCAACTAGCCAGAACGTGAACAGCCAAATTTACCAAATCTTAGATGTTACTCAATCATCAGTAAGTGAGCAAGAGCCTAGCCAAGCAACCATAATTAGACCAACAACTGTAAGTGGGTGGGCACCAGGTGAAAGCCACACAGAAGTAGCTAAATCAGCACTTATCGTAAAATCCCCTCAATGCTTACTGCTTGATACTGCTCTCCCTTTCTGCTCCTCCATGGTTGGGGAAAGGTTTGTTGTGCCCAATTACCTCAACCAGAGCAGTGTGGAGGAAGTCCAGGTACTTCTAAATGAATGGGCATGGCTGTTGAAGTCACGTTGCCACCATAGTTTGGAGTGGTTTTTCTGCCTTCTCTTGGTACCAAAGTGCAGCTCTCTGGTCCCGCTGCCGGTGTTGCCTTGCCGGAGTTTCTGCGAAGTCTTGCGGGACAGTTGCTGGGCACTCTTGGATGAGGGACGCCTCCCTGTGGAGTGCCACACTCTACCAGACGAGGAGGATGATGGGTATCAGTGCTTGTCAGTTAGTAACCAGAAAGGTAACTACTGGTTCAAATGAAACCTAGTTTTGGGATTCATTTTAAACCAGTTTTCAGTATCCTTACCCCCAGTTTGTCTGGTGTTTCCTCCCAATTCCCAATAACCGATACCCACCCAAATAATTTACAGTTATCCCTATCAGCCCAGTCAAAGTCATTAACAATATCTTGATTCCCATGCACAGCAAAACAATTCAGAAGAAAAAATAAGCATGCCTCAACTTTGTTTGTCCTGATGTTGAAAGGTAAAAAGTTCTGGCTGAAGCCTAACAAGCATGGTGCCAGCACTCCTTACATACAGTGTTGCATGTATGTGTTTCCCTTGTCCTTTGGATCGCATGTGACTTACTACTTGAAGGTCATTATAACACACATGCGCACACACACACACACACACACACACACACACACACACACACACACAC